AAAATTCGGTTTAGTTTATATTAGAGAATATATTTTTCTATTTTAAATGGGTGTTATTTATTTTTGTCTCGAACAAATCAACTAGTAATGCTGAAATAATGAGTGTAGATGGGCTCTAAAAGACATAAAATAATATATGTAATTTGGTTTGGTGCGCCCGCGGCGGGCTTTTGTCTGCTCACACCGTCACGCTTTTCCAAAATTGAAATCTGGCAACCCTATTTACACGGTACGTCCGGAGCTGTCGTATTCGATATCGAGTGTCATAACAGATAATTCGATACGACTCGTAAAATAGGCAGCAGGTCAATCGAATGCAACTCTGAATGCGAAACAGTCGCAACATTTATATGAACGCACCCACACCCGGTATGTTGTTTCCCGGATCGGGACGCGATCCAGCAGTCGGATTCTATTTCACGAATCATGTCGAATTTCGAATTGACGTGTCTCGTAATACGTGGTGTGCGCGCGCAACTCGGGTTGCAGGTGAGCGTCCAATGAAAATCGAGTTTGTTATGGGCTTGCGTCATATTCGTATTCAGGGACGAGTTCAGAATTAATCGTTCCTTCTTTCTTTGTAACGTCACAACGTGTAGTTCGACAAAGAGCAAACTAATACTTTACGTATTACTTGAACTTATCGCAGTGTCGTTTAAGGTTATGTTAGATTATACTTGACATATTTCTTTGCAATTTTATTGTGTGATGTTGCCGAATGAAACATTTATCAAAATAAAAGTACTATCGATGTTAATATACACTTTAAAGCTCTTCTTTTGTCTGATTTAAGGCGTTGTAAAACACTTGACAATATATCACTTCTTTAATGTTATAATGTTCAATTTGTATTGTCTACATTTGTTTACAACAATACAATCTGGCTACACTGCAACCACGGGTTGCGCGCGCATGTCATTTTTTATTACTTTCTGACTTATATTTATTACAATTAAGCTCTCTTTTTCTATTTCTGCGAGACACGTCAGTTGTCTGTTATGACCAATGAACTATAGCCAAAAACTGGAATGCGCATACATTGCTATATCTGCCAAAAAAATGTAGCCATGAAAGACAGATGCCACAAAGGGGAATGTTGTTTTTTTCTGTTGCTCGCTGACATATGACGTTTTGGAAAGTTTTGTCATATTTACCTTCACAGGTTTCATGAATTGGAATACGTGTTGGAAGCAATTTCCGCCATTTAACATAATGAGTGCGACAAAAACAGGTATCCCCTCCGCAGCAACGGCACTAGGCTTCACGTTCGTCAATATGTGTTCGCATTCCAATTTTCGTTATAGTTCATTGGTTATGACTATAGCTTTGTTTTAGTTTCAATCAGAACTAGTTCGGAATCATTCCGCACATGCGCATATTATTTATAATATGCGCATGTGCGTTTTAACGCGTTTTCGTTTTGTCCAGAATCGTAATCGAATTGCATTGACAGTGTTTTGGTTTATCTAAAGTATGTTTTTTTAAAAAAAATAAAAGTCAAAATGACATTATGTTGGCAATACAATGTAAAATTGTCAATGCTTCAAACTTTTTATATAGAAAAGGCTTGTGTTGCCAACATAGTTACTAAATTTTTGACTTGGGGAATTATCTTTAAAAAAAAAACAAGCTTTAGAACTATTTAAGAACAATTCTGGGATTGTTCTAAAACGGTTCTCTCAGTTCTTGCTTTGAAGGAGGAACTGTTTGAAGCAGTACTCATAACCGCGAAATTCGCTTTTTTTGACATCGCTTCGACAATTTGACGTTTGATTCACGCATAAAACATCAAATTGTCGAAGCAATGTCAAAAAAGAGCGAATTCCGCAGTTATGAGTACCCTTGATGAGTACTAGGCTTTAGAATTTTGTGATTTGCGGCGTGGTTTGGTTTTTTTTGTTCCGAATCTGTTCAGAACTAGTATTAGAACAGTCCTCTATTATTTTTTATGCGCAAGCAAATCTGCGCAATTCTAGAATCGCTCCAAGTTTCGAACCAAAACAAAGCTATCGACACTCGATATCGAATAAGACAGCTCCGGACCTACCGAGGAAAACGTATCGAAAAATAGAATTGCTATTTTGACCAGGGACCCGGACCGGAACGATATTGGACCGAAAACCGGAACGAAACCGTTTTTTTTTGCGTACCGGAACCGGAACGAAACCCATATTTCATAGAAATGTTGTAGGGCAGGCAGAACCGGAACCGATATAAATTAATCGGTTCTTACCGGTATTTTTCGGTTCCAAGATTTTATAAATTAAGCTGTTTACTGTTTGGTTGTATCATAATAAAATTAACACTTTAAAAAACAGAGCGTTGGACATTGGACAGCGCGCATTTCTGAACTCGGCTAGGCTACAGACCAAGGATTTTACATACTACTACAGGATTGCTAATCGGCTTCGATTTTTGGAATCAAGTTCATATGTTGTTGAACCGTTGCCGACGTCATCAACGGTCTCGTTAGCTGTTTGCGTTCGTAGTATAATTTAAACTTGATTAACAAATAGTCAATAGACAAGAGGAAGATGCTAATGAGATCTAAACAAGAGTTGTTTTAGAATATTAAATAATGTACTATGGTTCTAAGCCGTTTCGAAATACAATCCAATCCTCGTTTTAAAAACATTTCCTCGTGCCGAGAAATTATGACGTCATTGTGAAACTGATTTAAACCAGTTTTGGAGAATATTTCAAAACTTTGAGACGCGAGAAAACACCTCCTAATCCGTGGTGCAACTGGTGCAAGCACTACGTCAAGGCGAGAAACGACACAAAATTTTATTTTATTAATAGTAATTATTATAATTAATAAAGTTGTTGCAGATAGGCAGAGAAATTCAAAAAAAATAAACCACAAATTATAGAAACATAAATTCTTCTGTAATGACCGTTTTAAGGGATGCTTCTTGAAATGGTCAGTGCAAATGGCCATTAGATATTTGTGAAAAACTATACCGGTATGAACCGTTAAAACCGAAATTATTGGTCCGAACCGAATCGAAATATTTCTCTTAGAACCGAAACCGTAACGGAACCGATATTCGTCATGACGCTGTGGACCGGAACGGAACCGATATTCCATTTCGGTCCGGGTCCCTGTTTTTGACTATTCGATACAAATTTCGACTCGACTCGTAAAATAGAATTCGGCTGCTGATGTTCCTACTTCGGTTCTAGGTAGGGATGCCACCCTGAAAAGTAAGTTGAACCGGAGAAAAAAAAAACCTTATTGAAAAAAAAAGCTGAAAAAAAAAATCCTACAAATCTGATAACAGATGCATTAGGTACACTCTATCTATATACAAGTCACCCCTGGCATCACCGGATGATGCTCAGGGTTGGGAGTTAAGACGGTTGGAGAGGTAGATTCCAGGATTATTACACACTACACAGGATAGGACAACCATAGGATAGCCTATCCGCATATAGCCTCTGTAGATCAAATCTCAAGCCCCCCACCACGTCAAAACGCCAGTGATGACGTAGACAGCGTGTCGTTCCTCGCCTTGACGTAGGGTGTTTGCACCACAGGCTATGTTTCTGTTGACTTTTGCTCTATGCATACTTGGTTTTAGTTTGAGAACATTAATGGGCAATGGCGACGAGATCAATCGTTAGTCAAGTCCTTGTTAGTAAAAAACAACCTCAGATTGTGCCACACAAAAACAATCTCATATTGATATTAACACAATCTGAGGTTTTTGTTAACTAACAAGGACTTAACTAACCTTAGAGCGGGTAATTTCCTAGGTGGGAGGAGTAGGAACATGAAGCTGTTTTTTTCCAGGTATTTTTAGATACAAAATAATGGCGGTATAGCTAATTCAATGCTTTACCTGTCATTTGCTGTACAAACACCTGCTTAAAACTGGCTTCACTTTAGTTTCATAGCAGAATGGCGCGTTCCTACTCCCTATGTCCGTAGGACAGCGCTTTACCTGCTCTAAGTAACTAACGATTGATCTAGCCGCACTAATAGTCGTTTGCACCAACCATTTTAAGGTAGGTTTAACGATAATAAACGCTTACAGTGACATTTCTACATGTCACTTTAAGCGTTGACTATCGTTAAAACTCCCTTAAAATGGTCGGTGCAAACGGCCATAAGCAACATTCTAAAACAACCCTTTTTAGATTTCGTTTGCATCTTCCGGTTTGCTTATTATTCAAAATTAAATAATATTATTCATCATATATTTATATTTTAAACTAAGACCGCTGGCGCAAACAATCAACGACACCGTTGATGACGTCGACAACGGTGCAACACCATATGACCTTGATTCTAAAAATCGAGGCAGGTGAGCAATCCTATAGTAGTGTGTAATATCCTTGAGGGAGAGCAGGAACAGTATTGCGCTGTTGCTAAATCTTATTTTTTTTTTCCTGAACATAAGAATTATTTTTACGTTTTTTTTGTTAAATGCGGTTTCACCCGGGGAAAACGCCTAGTAATCCGGAACCCGGAGACCATATGTGAAAAGTGAAAACCCTTAGACTCCGGGTGAAACCCGTAGAGGTGGTAACCCTAGTTCTAGGAGAAGGTGACATTCTTGAGCGAGTTGAGCGCATTCAATGGACGTGACTTTTTGCCTTGTTTCAATTACAGTGGGTTTCAACCAATGAAACTGATTCTGACTGGTTTGCTGTTTCTGTGTTTATCGTTCTTGGAACAGACCTCTACTATGGGTGAGTTCGGCTTGCTCACTCCGTGCACTCGGAGTGACTCCATTCGCACTCCAGCCGTTCGGGTTAAGGTTCGGGTATTGCTTTTCACGGTATCAGGGGTGACTCCATTAGCTCTGTTCATTCCACTCCAACTCCGCGCTGAATAGCCGAACTCACCGTATAAAAACAGCCGGAAAGTGAATTTAATTTGAGTAAAATTTGAGAATAGCATACTACACAACACAAACACAACCGAACTCGCTTTTTTGACATTTGGCATTTGGCTCCCGACCGTCACGCCACGGCACGGTTGCGGAATTAAAGGAAACCGCTTGCCGCCACAGAACATTTGCCGCTATTATTTTTATAATCTCTGAAGTTCGTGTTGTGCTGTGTTTTTCTTCTCGAATTAATTTCAATTTACTGAAAAAGTGAGCTACAAATTAACTGGAATTAAACTTCATCTCAGATCCCTGCTCACTGCCTATTAAAATATTTATTTTAGGTCAGTATCAGCAAAAAATGCTTCCCAGGCTCAAACATATAGAAATTGAAAATTTCAAATCCTACAAAGGACTGCACGTTATAGGGCCCCTTCAGCCCTTTACCGGGGTCATTGGGCCGAATGGATCAGGTAAATATAAATAATATTCCTACTTGTTGAGTATTTAGATTATTATTCACATAAATCTCTCAAAAGCAATCTAGAATTCGAAAAAAAAAACACGTACGTTACGCTAGCTCCTAAAATGCCAGCTCCTAAAAATTAGTACATGGATTCGGAAACGCAGTCGCTTCTGTGAAGCTGGCTCCTTGGCTGGCTGTTGATTATTTTATTGCATATTTTTCCGATTGTTTGATTATTATATGAAAAATCGAACTTTATACAGGGTGTTCCGAAACTATTGTGCCAAAAGTTAGGGGATGATAGATCTCGCCAAAATAAAATTTTTTTACTCATAAACCCATAGGCGCGTGCGCTTCGGTTAGGTGATAAAAGTACATTACAGTCCGCGCTGTGGTAGCCACCTTGCTTACGGAGAAACGTGTTCGAATCAGAAACTGAAAACTGGAAACTAATACAAACCCAAGGAATACTTGCAGTATTTATTAAAAACAATGATTCACATCAAAAGATGCTCAAAATTACGACCACCCGCCTCAATGCATGTGTGAAATATCGACTGCAAGAAACCCTTCCCGAACTGTTAGAAAGTGTTCCCCTGTGTGCCGGACAAAACATGTAGTAAAAACATGACGCAGGTCCACCACATTACTCGTAAGCCGTAAAGGAACATCTCAACGAAACATAACCTGGAAAAAGTGTTTGGTAAGGGCGCAGCTATTGCATGGCCTCCAGGTTCACCAGACCTGACCGAATGCGACTTTTTTTATGATGTCATATGAAAGTGAATGCCATTCCAATTGAAACAAAGGAATAGTTAGTGGAAAGGATTGTTGCAGCAGCTGCTGAAATTCGCGAAACGCCAGGAATTTTGCAACGTATTCAGGAGGCTATGTTATAGCGTTGTCAGTGTTGTCACGCATGATTTTGAGCATCTTCTGATGTGAATCATTGTTTTTAATAAATACTGCAAGCATTCCTGGGATTTCTGTATTATTTAATAACACAGTTTCTACTTCAAACACGTTTCTTCGTGCGCAACTTAGCTACCACAGCGCGGACTGTAATGTGCTATTATCACCTAACCAAAGCGCATGCGCCTATGGGTTTATAAGTAAAAAACGTTTATTTTGGCGAGATCTATCATCCCCTAATTTTTGGCACAATAGTTTCGAAACACCCTGTTTATACAGTGTGTCCATAAAGTAACGGATAAATTCATTATTTTGAAAACGGTAGAATTTTTGGTAAAAATCGCTCAGACACGTCAATTTTGTTTTTTTCTTTGAAATTTATTGATATATTTTTTATTATTTATTATCTCAAAAATAGCTCCGCTGCTATCAACTTTGTTTTTTCAAATGGATCACCCTGTATATTATGACATTTATGGATTCTGCGGAAAATGTTTGATATATTTCATGTACAATGTTTATTGATTTTTTTGCAACTTTGACAAGCTGTAAAACCTGAACGGTTAAATTTGGAGGAAAACCGATTTTACATTCCTATCTTAGATTTTCATAAACTATCATACGACACCAACTTTGAAGTTAATCTGTGATTAAAAATTCCGGTTAAATTTAATCTCCGGGTAAATTCAAAGTTGGTGTCGAATGATAGTTTATGAAAATCTAAGATAGGAATGTAAAATCGGTTTTCCTCCAAAATTAACCGTTCAGGTTTTACAGCCTGTCAAAGTTGCAAAAAAATCAATTTTCAACTGTCAATATTTCCGAAACAGTTGAAGATAGGTACATGACATTGTACATGAAATATGTCAAAAATTTCCCGCAGAATCCATAAATGCCATAATATGCAGGATGATCCATTTGAAAAAACAAAGTTGATAGCAGCAGAGCTATTTTTGAGACACCCTGTATAATGGAAAATATATCAAAAAATTTCAAACAAAAAAACAAAATTGACGTGTCTGAGCGATTTTTCAAAAATTTTACTGTTTTCAAAATAATGAATTTATCCGTTACTTTACGGACACAGTGTATAATAGAAAAATCGCAATAAAATAATAGCTATTTATATAACAAGTACATAAAGTAAGGCTTTATTGTACGAATAATTTTATGGCCGAGCGAGCTTGCGAGCGAGGCTATTAAATAATGAGTCAATAAAGCCTGTTTATGCACGAACGGGCGTAAAAGTGCACTTTTACGCCCGCATTTTAAAGCGTGAAGTAGTACTTTTACGCCCTAGGGCGCCTTTTATGCCCGCGGGCCTGAAAGTTTCAAAAATAAACAAAAATTCGTCATTTTTTTAAAAACTTTTTGTATTTCTATTGCTTAGTCCAAAAAATACCAACTTTTTTCAACAAAACAAGCTTTATTTCAATTAATAAGAATAATGAAATAAGCAATAATGGTAAAATTCAATCTACTTTGAAATTGAAAATACAATTTTTATAGTTTTTAATTTTTAAAACCGGCCCTTTTCCACAGAAATACACAAAAGAACTGTTGCCTTCAACATTGAGTAAAAGCTCCATAGGGTGGATGGCTTATTTTTTTTTGCATTTTTCATATTAATGTATATGCCAGGCCAGGAGAGTTTCTTCTACAAAGTACTGCTGCTCATTTACACTATGTTGGGCACATCAGGAAATAAAGTCCTCATATGTTTTTTCATAGAGTCTTTTGGACTTTGAAGGTATACATGTTTCTTGGCCTCTTCAACTGCCTCAAGAATAAACTTGGGCATGCTATTTTGCTCCATTTTCAGACGCACTACCATCATAAGAATACCATACACGTACACTACACAGCATATAATTATTTGTTTGTATTGTTCTGGGTTGCTATAATAGTTACGTGATACTTTTGTCAACAACTGCTTCCTTGATCTAAATTTGACAAAAACTTAGGACCTATTGCGGTAAAGATGAAAATTTATATTTTGAAATATTTTTGATTGATGTCATTACAAAATTGAAAATATATAATTTTTTAAATATCAAAATGAAAACATGCTCATCGTGCATAAAATCTTGTATGCACCTCAGTCAAAAAGAGCTTTAACGCCCTCAGCGTGTAAACAGCCCTCGGCTAACGCCTCAGGCTGTTACACACGCTGCGGGCGTTAAAGCTGTACTTTTTGACCTAGGTGCGTAAATAACTATTATGTAAGCGTTATATACATGATTTTATGTACGATTCTGACTGGTTTTTGTTAAAAATTAAAAAAATTGAATGAAAAAAGTAAAATTCGCGTAGGTATACCTGTTTCACCTTGGCAGGTTGTCAGGACCTGTTTCACTTTGGCAGGTTGTCAGAACCTGTTTCACCTTATCAGGTAGTCCAGGTAGGCAATAAAGTAGCACATTATTTTACTAGTACAATAAAGTGCTACTTTATTGACGCAAAACTGTTCTATAAATAGCACTTTATTGGTCAATCGGACATAAACACAATTTATTTATGACCAATGTCATTATTTTAGAGGTTACGTTGAAATAATAATCAAGAATAGGAATGTGCACGTAATCGATGTCGACGTCCAACTTTCTTAATATGCGGATTTTAAAATTGAAACTTTCGGGATACATAAAAGGCCACTAGGGCTACTTAAATCTACCATCAAACTTGGGTTACATACGCAGGCTTTATGAGAAAAAAAATTAATTTCGATTAAGGGCCTAATTAGGAGCTGAGGCCGTACCGCCTTTATTGGCAGGATTCTCAACATGAAATTTTCAGGCTAGATAGAGGGTCCATAGGGCTACCTAAATCTACCCTCAAACTTGGGTTACATACGCAGGCTTTATGAGAAAAAAATTAATTTTGATTAAGGGCCTAATTAGGAGCCGAGGCCGTACCGCCCTTATCGGCAGAATTCTCAACATAAATTTTTTAGGGTGGATGGAGGGTCCATATAGGGCTACTTAAATCCACCCTCAAACTTGGGTTACATACGCAGGCTTTATAAGAAAAAAATTATCCGGGGAAGTCCGGCCGGAATTCGGAAGAATGTACGGGAAACTCGGAGATCGTGAAAACAACCTGAATTAATTTGTTTCTCATAAAGCCTGCGTATGTAACCCAAGTTTGAGGGTAGATTTAGGTAGCCCTATGGACCCTATATCTACCCTAAAAATTTCATGTTGAGAATCCTGCCAATAAGGGCGGTACGGCCTCAGCTCCTAATTAGGCCCTTAATCAAAATTAATTTTTTTCTCATAAAGCCTGCGTATGTAACCCAAGTTGGAGGGTAGATTTAGGTAGCCTTATGGACCCTCTATCTATCCTAAAAATTTCATGTTGAGAATCCCGCCAATAAGGGCGGTACGGCCTCAGCTCCTATTAGGCCCTTAATCAAAATTAATTTTTTTCTCATAAAGCCTGCGTATGTAACCCAAGTTTGAGGGTAGATTTAGGTAGCCCTATGGACCCTCTATCTAGCCTAAAAATTTCATGTTGAGAATCCTGCCAATAAGGGCGGTACGGCCTCAGCTCCTAATTAGGCCCTTAATCGAAATTAATTTTTTTCTCATAAAGCCTGCGTATGTAACCCAAGTTGGAGGGTAGATTTAGGTAGCCCTATGGACCCTCTATCTACCCTAAAAATTTCATGTTGAGAATCCTGCCAATAAGGGCGGTACGGCCTCAGCTCCTAATTAGGCCCTTAATCAAAATTAATTTTTTTCTCATAAAGCCTGCCTATGTAACCCAAGTTTGAGGGTAGATTTAGGTAGCCCTATGGACCCTATATCGAAAGTAAACTTTCGACCCGTGGGCCGAAAGTAAATGAAATTGTTAATTATTGTATTTTTTAGTTTTAATTTAAATGAAAATTTCAAAATTCGAATGATTGTAAATAAAATAGTATACATACCTCGGTGAAAAGTTTCATTACTGTCTCGAGATTTCGGTTAGACCTCGGCTGCGCCTCGGTCTAACTTAAATCTCTCGACAGTAAACAATTTCCACCTCGGTATGTAATATACTATTATTCTATCGCGAATGGTAAACTATCATTTAATCGACTCAAAACTCGTT